TATTGTATATATATATGTATGTATATATATATGTATATATATATATACTATAATCATATATTTAAGAATTTCTTTTAATGCTTGATTCATGTTTTGATTTGAGGGTATGATAGATAAAATATTTAGACATCTTGAAGCTAAAAACTATTTGATCAAGCAATAACTATTTTCTTAAGTCTCTAAAATTGTAATTTTTTTTAATTTTCCAATTCATAATTTGTTATCAAGATGGTTAATAATATTAAGAATGAGTGATATTCTATCGTGCTTGATAATATAAGTAAGAATGTAAATTTTGAAGTAATTAAATTTGCACTAATCCTTAGGTTTGAGTTTATAAGAATTTTAGCTTATTATGCATTGAAGAAGATCAGCAAAAGTAAAAAGTTGATAGATAATTGATGGGATATCAGCTTTGAAAAGGTTGACCTGAGGAAAATATTTATGGAGCGCACTAGGAGCAATGTTATGAATCATGTCCTTCTAAATCATAATAATATAGTAATATTTTAACTACGATGCTTTGCTTAATTGAAGCTTAAAAGGCTTAGTAAGAATACTCAATGAGAAAACTATCACGAGATATAAGAGTGAGAGGATTAAATAAAGACACAATATATTATAAGGTCGTCATCATCAAGAAGAATGAATCGACCCAATACAAAGCAACAAAATATGTGATATCATTATGAAAATGGGCTTATAAAGCCATCCCAATGATAAGGAGGAAATTTGTAAGAGTCCATTATAGAGAAAGAGATATTAATGCTGAGTTGATCAATAATATGCTATAATGCTCATGGGCAAAAAAAATTTTGCTTTGCTTATGGTTGAAGATGTAAGGGTTGCACAAATTATCCAATTTTAGTTTATATAGTGAATTATAATTTTAAATTAACTCATAATCCTTTTTAAAATTAATTTTCTATAATTGATTGTTATTTTATGATAGTGTATGGAACAAATTAGGGGGGGGGGCGGGTGGCTGGCGGGGGGGAGCCTTATAAGTCTATTATTCTTGTGCTTTTAACCTATTATAATTGGGGATATTAAAAAGAGAGTGACCATTATTTATGAGGAGAAAATAAAAGGAGTGAAAACTGTTGTATATAAAGTTGGAGGAATTTTTTTTCATTTTTAGGAGCTCAAAAGTAACTAGTGGGGAATGGTCAAGTAAGATTAACTCAAATATTAGATGTGTTGATCAATTTTATTTGAACTCTTTACATATAGATGGGAAGGAAAACATATGTGATCAAGGCATTTACCATTGACTCAACCATTCATTTTATTGAAATTCAGAATGTGTGAACAATAACGAGAAGATGAAGAAGGAAAAAGAGATAGAGGATGTTGACTAATCATATACTTTTATATGAACATATACTAAGTTGGAGAAGATGGGAGAGTTTAGCTTATCTCTCACCATATATTATACATTGAAGTGAGGCAAATTTATTGGATTGTCAAAAGATTCAAAAGAACGATAAATATTGATTGGAAATTATAAAAATCCATCAACAAAATACATATATCGGTATAACCGACTCAAGTTAGGTCATGAGTTGCCCAGGGCTCAATTTGACAAATAGTTGTGTCTATCTAAATGAACTGACATGCCAAAGCTAGAGCTATCAACTAGATTTGTTAGCACATGGATTAGATTTTTTTGAAAATTATTATTATATAACACACTTTAAATGAATTAGTATATGAGAGTATAATATATTATATTTTGAACTAGTTAGGTTAAAGCAAACATTATTTTCTTTAATCTTTTTTAGTAACCCATAACCCATAGCATACGCTGATTGTTATCGACTTCAATATGTTGACAAGAAGTTGTCATAATCTTTTGCATTAGGACATTGATTAATTTGTGGCTAAGTTTGCCTTGCACACTTTTTTTGCTTTCCCCTCACAAATAAATAACAATGCTCATTTTTTCTTTATAATTTGTTAAGGATAACCATAAGTTTTTCTCATCAACTCTGTGCAATAGAATAAGATGAAAATTGCTTAGAAAAGTAAGTTGAAAAAAATCTTATGAGTTTATATACAATAATGATTTATTGTATAAAAAAAATATTTTGCTTAATTCTTACATATTTATACATCGTTCTTGCCAATAATTGTTGCTTAGGAGCAACTTTTGTTGTCTTGAATAACATCTTTGGTGATTTATCTTGAAGTAACTCAATTCATCTTCTCCCCTTCTCTAATATGACTCGTTAAGCCTAGCAATACACTAGTATGAAATATCCAAGTGTAATGTTCTTGCATGAAGATATTCATCTTCAATTAAGTGGTCTCACAACCACTATGTGCAATCCTTTTTATCCCTCTATGTTCACTCCCATGATAGCATGCTCCATGCAACGGCAGAGCAAAACAATTTTTTTTAGTTGTAGCACAATTTAATGATTAAATAAAAGAATCTCAATCATTATTATTGGGATTTGGGCTTGACATTAAGGACTATTAAAAAAATATATACAAAATAAAATGTTATTTTAAAAGGATATGAAGTCATTAACTAAATGAGATTTTTATAATAAAATGCACTGTTATTGATGACTTTTAAATTTAATTAATCACTATAGTAATACGAGTAGAAGTATTCTAAATATATTTTTTATCGATGCTTACTAATAAGCTCATACATACAAAGGGAAATAGTGTATCTCGGAAAAAAAAAAGAAGAGACCTCCTCACTTGATCACTATGTTGCCTAACATATTGTTATTCTGTTCACTTTCCTTCTCTCATGCTTCAACAAAAAAACCTAAAGCCTTGAACAAGCTCTGTCGTTCATAAGTTTATCGACATGTGTGAAGTAGAGAAATAGTGTATCATTAGGGATGTAAACGAGCCGAGCTTGAGTGAGCACATGTTTGGCTCGTGTTCGATTTTTTTGAAATTGGATCGTGTTCAAAGTTTCCCGTGAACTGTGAGTTTGTGTTTGACTCGAAACTAACTCGTTTAAATTAATTTAAAAGATAGATATAAGATATTAGATTTGAAACTGCATCAATTATAAGCAATAGAAGGTAGAGAGCCATGCAAACACATGAGCTATTATGAATTCAACTTATGTGAGTGTTTATAGTTCTTTTTATTTCGAGATAAAATTAGTTAAAGAAGATCGAACCAAAGGGTTGTTCGTGTTCAAATATTTTATAATTTAAGTTTAAAAAATTTATTTATGTTCGACTCATTTATTTAACGAATTATATAAACTCGAGTTAGAAACTAAGTACTGAGTTATTCATGATTAACAAATTTTTTTTTTGTGAGTATCATAGTCCCAAGGATGTGCCTTATGTGATCTTAACTTTATTAACGAAGTATTAGATGATCTAAAAAAATTAAATTTAGTATTTAAATGTAAATCCCGAATTACATATTCTCCTAAAGTTCATTTTCCCTTCTTGTTTTGGGAATCCGTCTGCTATCGCCAATCCAGTGAGCGCCGTAGCTATTCTCTCGTTCAAATCGCGCGAATAAGGAGAATGGAAACACCCGCAGAAGGAGAGCGGCCATGGCAATCATATAACACAGTCTACACCAACGCTAAAGCAGGTATTTCAGTCCCTGCCTGCCCTCCCTTTCGAGCAGAATTCCCATTTCAGGCGTTTGTTCGTACTTTAATTCTCGAATTCATATAACTGTGGGGCACTCTTTTATCTTGAAGAAGGGAAACGATTTTCCCGTTTGATTTTTTATTTAGGGTTTTGATGCTGAACTGTGAAAGGTGGGAAGAGAAATGGGTTCTTGTTGTGTAAGTTTGTGTTTTCCACAGAAGGAGTTCTCAATCGTCAAGTTACCTTATACTCCATTCCTCTTGGGGTTAGGCCTCATTTTTCTTATATTAAAACGGGGAAATGAAATAGACTGCACTCAATTACTTGTTTTCTTTTTAGTGGAACTTGTTATGGGATAGAATATATGAGAAGAGGAAATGATATGTGCCATAACCTCATTTTCTCTCCAAAAATAAAAAAAAAAAATCCTTTTTTTTTTTGTGGTGGATAATATTATACAAAACTTTGCTGTCCTTCTACCATTTACTTCTCAATGTCAGGAAAGAGAGCATACGAGTGAATTTTATCTCTATTGAGTCGTGATTAGTACAAAAAGAGTGAACTGTAAATGATTTCTAAGTACCCTCAATAATGTAGGAATGTGGATGTAATGAAAAATGAACATCCTTGCAATATGTAATTTTGCAAGTGCTAAATTTACTAAGCAACGGTGCATCGAACATTTTTTATTGCTGATCAGAGCTCAAATAGGAGGGATATTAGTCTTTTGAAAGCTCAGTTTCACAATTGATATTTTGTGCCTAGGAAATTCTTTCTTTTATAAATTTTGATAAAAGCAATTGAAAGAGTAAGCCGATCTCTAGAGGCTCTTTAAGGTTATGTTACTCGTGAAACATACATCCCCCTTTTATTTAATTTTATATTAGAGATATAACAAATTCTCCTCTTGTTTATGTAAACTTATTCTTGATTCTATGGTCTTGTAACTCATTCAACAACAGCAACAACCTATGGTCTTGTAACTCATTCAACAACAACAACAACAGCAACAACAACAACAAAAACAACAACAACAACAAGCCTTTATCCCACTAAGTGGGGTTAGCTACATGAATCATTGTTCTCCTCTTGTAACTTAAAATGAGAATACACTTTTAACTTGGCTTGCCTAAATTTTTGAATCCCCTTTGATTTCTATTACATTGATGTGATATCTTCTAAATACTACACTTCATTCTAGTATGTTTTAACTATTGTGTTGTAGGTATGGAAGGAGTTGATAAAGAGAAAGTGCAAAGAATTGTTTATGAAATGAGCAAAGGGTCAAAATATTTTGAGAATGAACAGAGGAAGGAGGCATTCATTAAGCAAAAGATTGAAAGTCTGCGTGCTCAAGTTGATAAACTTACAGACAAGGATATTTCTCATTTTCAAATGGTCACTGCACAGAATTCTATTTATTTGTTTTTGCAGCTTTCCTTTTTTGTCTCTGCACTTCATTTAGCGGTCTTATGTGGCGGAATGCTTGTGGCACCTTTGTAAAATTAACTTCTTAAATTATTTTTTCTTTTCTTATATAGTGTTATTAAAATGAAAAGCATATGTATGACACTCCGATTAAAGGACCTTGGCTATTTCCAACAGACAAATTTGAGAATACTTCATATCACACCTTTCATTTGCTAATCAATCTGCAACAACATTTACTTCTCTCTAAATATGGTCAATCTTGAATTAAAGCAATTACCAGCTTCCTTACCTTCAATAATAAATTTTAATATTCATAGCATCCACTTCAATCCACAATTTATTTATAATTTATTGAAGCCAAAGCTCAAAATAACGTGCTGATACCAAAGTTAACCGAAACAACAATAAACAAACAAATTTTATTTACTGCAAAAGCCAATAGGCAATTACAACCAATATCCACAAATAGAAAAGCACAGTAGTACTACACATGACACACGACTAGGGCTGATTTAGGGAGAGTGGTGATGATTTCTAGGCACTTAGAAAGGTGGCGGCAAGGTGGTAGGTGGGTTGGACAACCGATAAAAAATTATAGGTGGTCCGGAGCGGCTGGAAAAACTGCGAGGAGGATTCTGGCAGCTGTCACAGCAGTATAGCTGTATGAAGAATGATTCTGGGCAGCTGGTAGACGGAGGTGACAAAGGGTGTTGGTTCCGGGTGGCTGGGCAAGCAGCAGGGGTGCTGGAGGAATGATTTTGGGTGGCTGGCAGTGAGGAGGCGGCAAGGGGGATGGCTCTATGTGGCTGAAATAGTAGCAGAAATGATTATGGCGACTGATAACATCAACAATGATGCAGGAGGAAGGATTTTCGGTGACTGATAGCAAGGAGGGGGGCGGTTGGGAGAGCAGGAACTGCAGGAAAATAGCCGGGATGTGCTTTTCGAGGTGGCTGCAGCGAGAAGGAATGCGTGGCAGCGAAAAGGGAGAGCTACAAAGGAGTCGGGGAAGGATAAACATCACCTTGGGAGCGAGATATAACGAGAGCATCATTCGACCATTGAGAAGAGTCACTACCTCAAAACGAGAAATAGCCGGAGCACCACTCGCCCTCGAATACAATCCTAGAAGGGAAAAACTGGATGCCGATATCTATCCAGATATAAAACATGAAAAAAAAAAACTAACCTAAAACATGAAAACAACATACTTATAGTCCTAGTGTAAAGAGGAGTGAACCCCACTCCAAATAGGAGGGAAGCCCATGCTTGGAAGGACCATTCGATCCCTCCCTTGCTTGGATCTTGGTGCTTGACGCCCTCATCACATGCCAAAGCAGAAATCTCAACGAGTAGGAATTCTGAATACCTAGACAATCATAAAATGCAAAAACAAGATTATACCATATTCATCCCTTAACAGCCCACAACAGCTTAACCAAGGCTTTCTTTGGCACGACCGTCCACATTTAACTCAAAACAACCAAAGTTCAGGTTTATGCCACAACACAACCGCCGATTAACACAAATTTCGTTTATCAATATTCAAGATTTGGCTAAAAAGAAAATTGCGGCCTTTACAGTAGGGTGGAAGCATCAGGCAACAACAAGGTAAGGGGCTTATCACCTAACATTTTTCTTACCAAAAGAAAACATTATCAACTTATCAGAATTCTCAGCAGCATCTCTATTCTGGCAAAGCGTCTTGCAAATTAAAGAAACTGAGCCCTTTTGGTTACAGACACGGGATTACTACTGTTGCAATATTTATCCCTCATGAAGTTCGACCATAAACTGCTTTGAGACCTGAAGTTCCACCACAATTTGATTGCAATAGCTTGAATCAAGTCTTTTTCACTTGTGAATCCCTTCTACAGGTAAGCTAAACTAATTAACTAATTTCATTGCACCCAATGATTTTTTTTTTTCCTGATTTGATTATCGCTCCAAAGAAATCTATTAAACAACCTTTCAAGTTTACCAATAACCTACTTTCGGAGGATCGTAAACGTGAAGGAAATAAATGGGAATAACGCTCAGAATGATCCTAACCAAAGTTATATGACTTCCTTTTGGAAGAAGGTTATGCTCGCAGCTATAAATCTTCCTTTGAATATTTTTAATAAACTCACCATTTTTAAAGGTCCTCCCCAAATTTTTAAACCAAGGAATTCTTTGCTAAGTTGATTCTGCTGAACAAATCCAATTACTTTTCATATGAAGCCATATTCTTAGAAGCCGCAAATTTACTTTTTAGCTCCATTAATCACAAGTCCTCAAACCTGTTTAAGGCTATCTAAAAACGTAATGAGCCCTTTTACTGAATTGTTAGATGGTCCAAAATTGTGAAAATATTTAACAGCATAAAAGTACAAACAGCTAACCTCTCATCAAGTTGGTGAGTTTGAGGACTAATCAGATTAAACCAAATATCTACTAACTATGAATCTTGTTTAAAATTTTATGTAAAAAATTCCTGATTTTTTTCCTCAATATTGCTTTTGAAAATCTGCTGGTCAGAAAAGTAAAGTTTTGTTACAGCTGCAATTTTTTGGAAATGAAATTGAGGAGGTATCAGATACGTTGCATCTATCTAATCCATGTTATATTGTGCTACCTTCAGATAAATACTGGCCATTTTTTTGACAGCTATGTCTGCTGTGAGAAAATCCAAGCTGGCACTTTACCTCTTTTCTTATTATTATTATAACTGCATCCATTCTAGGAATGCAATTGAAACATTTTGGATGTGACTGAAATTTTTAAATATGTAATTACTCTAGTTTAATTACTCTAGTTCAATGATTTTAGTGTATTTGTTTTATTTCATCAATTTACTTGAAACTCAAGTGTCTGCTAGTCATATTAACTCATTCTTTTTTTGCAATAATTTGCTCTACACGATGTGAAATGTGGATAGACTAGTTCATGATTTTAGATAGCCAAATAATGAGTTTTTATTTGGCGTTTTTAGGATTAGCTATGTTGGTTTACAGTTTTTAATCTGAGAATATCAGATTCTTAGAATTCTGCAAAATAGAGCTTACAGCTTATAGTTGGAAGGTCGATTTATGTGATATTTATAGTGTTCAACAACGCAAATTTACCTATGTTCTTATTGGTTATTATATCATTTCAGATAGCTAATAAAAGGATCTTAGAATTGGAAGCTTCGCGTGATCTTTCAAAAATTTGGCTGCATACAGATATGGATGCCTTTTATGCTGCTGTGGAGTCGTTGGAGAAGCCATCATTGCAGGGAAAGCCTATAGCAGTTGGTGGATTGTCCATGATATCCACTGCAAATTATGAGGTAAGGTGCTAATGCAAATATTTCATGCTCGAGAAGCCGTCCTTAGCCTTGCATTTGGATGTATGAACCGTATTTGGGATAGAAATATATCTTCTAACAGCTGTAAACACATTTATTCGTGATTCAGGCTCGTAAATTTGGTGTTCGTGCAGCGATGCCTGGCTTCATTGCTTGTAAATTATGTCCAGATCTAATCTTTGTACCAACAAATTTTGAAAAATATACTTTCTACAGTGAATTGACAAGAAAAGGTCACATTTACTAATTTTTAAAAGTTATTTTTCATAAATGGTGGCTCATCTCCAATTTGCTTAACTGATTATTTTTCTCAGTATTTCGGAGATATGATCCTGAATTTATTTCAACTAGTCTAGATGAAGCTTACCTCAATATAACTGATGTATGCATCAATAGGGGCATTAGCAGTGATGAAGTAAGTATTGAATGAATAGGTTTTTAATCCAGAAATTTATTTTTTATTATCGGATAGCTCTTTCAGGTATAAGTTTTTTACAGCGTAAATGATAATTACTGATTGCCCATTTCCTTGTCATTGTTCTCCACAAAGGTAGCTGGTGAGCTCAGGAATGCTATTTTTGAGGAAACTGGTCTCACGTGCAGTGCTGGAGTGGCACCCAATCTAATGCTTGCGAAGGTATTGTCATGAAATTTATTTAAATTAATGTTTATGGTTAAGCGTAAGATATATGATAGCTCAAAAAAATATTAGTTTGGCAATAATGTCCAAGCATTTTTTCCCCCTGTGCCTGCTTAGAGGCAAGGCGCAGCCTCTATTTTGAAATTAAAGAATTACTATGGAACACTTAGGCTTCCTTGTTATATTATGTTGACGAATGGTTCATTTTTGGCTTCATTTCATATATAGGTCAGTGATAAGCTGGGAAGAAGAATAAAGAAATAACTTTATTGATGCAAATCTTAAAATCTATATTCATAGTGCAAATCATGTGCTGTGATAAGCATGTGATTATTTATTTATTTTTATTTTTATTTTTTAGGATTGCTTTAGTTGTCTGATTTCATAGTTTTTTTTTTTGTTTTGTTTTGAATATAAGATGCCCGCGATGTTGGGGTCTATGAGAGCAAGATGCTTTCACTAATGTTTCGATTAACTTGCCAGATTAGTTTATTGGTGCGAGTTGTTTTGATTCAGTTAGATTCTCTCAGTCAGATGTTTCGGGTTCTTTGTCCCATTTCAAGTTATTGAGATTGAAGATTTTATTCAACTATAAGGCAACTTTTGCATGTATGCAACCTTGGCACAATTTTTGGATGTTTGTTCACTGTTAGCTTTGTTGCTCTTCATGTCCTCTTAGTGGTTCAAGGATATAATCTTTTGATTCCCTTTTCCAAGCTATCTAGTTATTGTGCAAGGAAGTTCGTCCTCTCCTTGCTGTGCTGCTTATTTCTTTGTAAAATTGTGGATCCAGTACAGTACTATTAAGACCTCCAGCTTCCTTCCTTGGCAGTCTTCGACTTATTGCTTCCTTAAGGCACAATTTTTTAATTTAACATAAATTAAATCTTGTTATTTGGGAATTGTAAAGTTGAAATTGAAACTTGCGATATCTGATCATGTGGGATTATGAGAGTATTAATTTTGAGTCCTTTTGTGCATAAATTGGACCCTTTAGACATGTTTTATGATGATTTATTGAATAGATTTTTGTTTTCTCTCAAGTATGTGTGTTGGTTGGATGCAAACCTAGAATGTAGTATGCTTTGACGGTGAATTTTGGGTGAAGCTTATTGTACCACGTGAAGTTAGGATCTTCATTTTGGTTTCTCCTATGCATCTTTTTTTTAATAAAATTTTGTTAATTATTCATGTGTGACTTTGATTTGATGAAGTTTGCCATATTTTGTTTTCTTTGTTGTGGTTTGAATTTTAAATCGTTTTTGGTTTTCATTCATTCTTAGACTTTTTGCAAATATTTATATATTGAGTACTTTAAAATTACTTTTAGAAATTTAATATGTTTTATTTTGTTTCAAAGTAGACTGATCTTTGTCAAAAGTAAAGTTTAGAAACTATAATTTGTGATATTTGATATATTTTTGTGCATTTTATTTTCGGTTTGTATTAATGATTTATAGACACCATGATATTGTAACAAAAATTAATATCGATGCTTATGGACACATCATTAATTCAACTAGAAATAAGGCATTAATTAGGAAAATTAGTAAAATAACAAACTGTGTGATATGGGTTGGCCTTGTCCTATGTGATAACAATGCCTATATCACATTCAGTATTTTATTTCTGTTAGACCTTAAGAAATTTCTTTTAGTGGATCAATAATTTGAAAGAATTTTCGAGCATTATTATTTATTTGATTTTGAAGGAGTTGAAATGACTGAAATGATACTTGTGTGTATGCTTAATACTATAAACAATTCTTCTTGTATTAGATGAATTTTGGGGCCAAATTCATGACTAATTTAAGAGTCATAAAAAAAGGAAATCAAAACTAGCTGAATATTATACAATGTTTATTAGTCTTGTAGGAAGGAGTTATTTGTCTCGGGACTATTTTTTTACCATTATGTGTTTTATTATTGTTCCCAAGTGATGGAAGCTATAATTCATCAAAAACACCATGTGAGGCTTTGTTTAGAACTTTTAATATTGATGCATATTATTATCATTCTGTTAGAACCACCATACTTCTAATTGAAGTTCCTAAAAGCAAAAACATAGCCTTTATTAAGAGGAAAGGAGTTTATGTATTATTGACTGAATATGTTGGGCCTTTAAGCAGGCATAAATGGGAATGCAATAAAAAAACAAATAAAGGGAATAATACCCTAAATTATGAGGATATCAAAAACATTTCATGTTTGCCTTTATATCATTCCTTTTTGAGTAGGAGCTTCCTCATGATTCACAGAAGGTGCTTGTTTGGGAACTTGTTAATTCTAATTATGAACAGGCTTTGTATCATGAAATCATAGTTCCTGCTCACATCTTAGTGCGATGCCAATGTGCTAGCTTCGCTCCGAACTCGACTGTGTCTGGCTGCACTTGCACTTGTGAGCCTTTTTATACACATGGCTGGTGGGCCCTGTGTTGATCATGCTTGTTTTTCCGCTTTACTATTACGGTTTTGTTTTCATTTGCACCCTTGCTCATGTGCGTGGTATCTCACATGCATCCTAATTGGCGAGCTTCCTCCGGTCTCAATGAATACATGGAATGTAATTTTAGTAGTAGTAGTTCTAGTGGCAGAGTTGTAACTATGAGTGATCAAATCATTAAAAGGTGTGAACGTTTTAGAGTCTATTATCGGGTCTATTATTCAAAGTGATGGTGATATAGATGGGATGTTATTAGTAGAATTCAAGTTGCTTGGTTGAAGTGGAGGAACGCGTCGGGCCTATTGTGTGATAGATAAGCACCGCTTAGATTGAAAGGAAATTTTATATGATGGTGGTGGACCTGCAATGCTCTATGGTGCAGAATTTTAGCCTTTAAAAGAGAAGCATAAAATAAAGTTAAGTTTTGTTGAGATGAGAATGCTTAGGTGGATGAGTGGCTTGACACTTAGAGACAAAATACGAAATGAACATATACGTGATAGGGTTGGTGTAGCACCAGTGGTGGAAAGATTAGAGAGAGTCGTCCTAGATGGTTTGGTCATATTAAGCTGCGACCATCCGATGATTCGGTTAGGAGAGTAGATGTTTTAGATTCGACCTGTGTTAAGAAAGACGGAGGTAGACCGAAAAGTACATAGGCATATTCTATAAAAAATGATCTTAATTTAGTAGAATTAAATGAAAATATGACACTCAATAGGACACAATGAAGAAAAATAATTCATGTAGCTGACCCCTCTTAGTGGGATAAAGACTTGTTGTTGCTGTTATTTTTTTGTGGGTCTTTGGTGCTGATGCTTCGTGGTGTTAGCATTGCATTCTTCTTGCATTCTTTTGGGGGTTGTGGGCCTCTATTTTCATAGCATCTTAAGTGTTGGGCTTTTGCTATTCTTTTTTGCTTCTGTAGCTGTGCTGGATTGCTACCTTTAGCTATAGAGCATGCCAAAGTTACCATTTATCCCTTCTCTTGAATTTGAGCTTTATCCTGTCACATCTCCTATGCCATTGCCTTATGACTGCAAATGATCTAAGCTAGGATTAGAAGGTTCTCCTATGTCATTGCCTCATGTCAATCCTTCCTTGCCATGGATTGGCTGTGTAACTGAAGGGACCCCATTTTTTAGTTACCCTAGGTATATAGGTATGTTATTTTCATGTTCTTGGTCAGTTTTTGCTGTGTTTCTGTTCAGGACAGCTGTCGGCGTCCTAGTTTCTCACTTCTAGGGTTGTATCCAAAGTCGATAGGTGCTTCAGCTGTATGTCGTTTGAGGCGGCGACCTTCTTCCAAGGGCGAGTGACACTTCGACTGTAACTCGTTCCCGAGAAAATATTTATCCCCGACATTCTCTTCCCCGCACGCCTCAATTCACTACTACTCCTCTTTCCTCGCTGCAGCCGCCTAGGACAGCCGTCGTTGCTGTTCTTTCCAACCACCTCCCTTCCACAATCCATGCTGTCCTACTTCTGAATAAGACGCTAGTCCTCCCTCTTGTTGTTTCGGGCAGCCCACAGGCTTCATGGCTGCCCTAGACCAACTGTCCTTTGTTGTTTTACTGCAGTTTTCTCCTTCCCAATCATTGTCCCGGTTTCCACTTCGCTGCCCTCGCTGTCCTAGCCCTCCACCTTCTCTGCCGCAGCCCACAACGCCATCCCTTTGCTGATTTGTTGCCGTTCCAGCCGCCCTCAAGCTCTACCGCACCTCATCTACCTTCTAGAAACCTTATCTGCTAAATCTGCCACTCTCAACACCCTAAACTTCCCATTCCAGCCCACTTAGCCGACCTCCACTCCCCTTGGGATACACTTTAATTGTGTTTGTTTGTGATTGCTATTGTATTTTCCATCCAGTATCTTAGTTGTAACTGCCTATTGGCTTTTTCAATAATAATATTTCTTTTACCTATAGTTGTTCAGGTTAATTCAGATATCATTTGGTATCAGAGCTAACAAAATCTTATTCCTATCTCAGGGTTTCTGACATCTCCTTATATCACTCCCCTAAAAATTTTCTTTTCTCTCCAACCTACATACCTCCTTCCACCTACCTACACCCAAAATCCTAACCACGCCCTCGAGGAGATAATTGCCGGAATCCAATCAAAGAATATACCATGGCTGATATACAATAGCTACTCCGCCAAGTGCTACATCGACTTGAGGCTGCTGAGAAAAGAGGGCAGGATCACCGTCGACCTTAATAGTGAAGTTCGTGAAGGAGTGCAAGAAGAACACATGAATCTCTTCTGTAGGGATGATTCCAGAAGAGAATAAGACAAGCCACAATGCTTTAGGGTACAATGTCAGCAGAGGCCTCAAGCGGAAGTGCCTATTGGAAGATACAAATATGAGGTGCTTGCTGGAGGATGCAGAAATGAGACGCCTGTTATGATACAAAGATGAGGTGCCTATTGGAGGATACAAAGATGAGGTGCCTGCTAGATGATACAAAGATGGAGTGACCGTTAGAAGATATAGTTATACCGGAGTTAACCCAAACCACAATAGAAAAATAGAAAAGTAAAGCTCCGATAAGGAAATCACAGAAAAAGAAGGTGGGAGAAGGGGTTGGCGGTATTGCCTGCCCCTCTATGGGCCACTCGGTCCAATTGGGGCATGGTCCGACGATTTATGCTAGCTGACTGAATCGACTGGCTTTTCCTGCACCCGAGTCCAGGGTTTTCCCTCACCCATGCGGGGTGAAACCTTACCCATACCGAGATGACGTGCCTATTGGAGGATACATAAATCAGAGAATGAAGGTGGTCCTATCAGACTTTGAGAGGAGAATGGATGTAGATGATTTTCTCGAGTGGATGTTGATAATTGAGCGGATCTTTAGATACAAGGAGATGCCCAATGAGAAAAGAGTGAAGCTCGCCACCATCAAACTGAAGAAGGATGCTTGTTTGGTGGGAGGGCTCGAAGAGGGAGTGATGGAGAGAAAGACATGATAAAATCAATTTTTGGGAGGAAATGAAGAAGACAATGCATCGACAATACCCACCCTATTGCTACCAACAATATATTTTCTTGATGCTCCACTACGTGCAACAGAATGAGCTATCAGTGGAGGAGTACACGACATAATGTTTGCAGCTTAAGTTGAAGTATGAGTCGAAGTAGACTGAGGAGCACACCATTTCTAGGTACTTTGGAGGCCTGAAGCGTGTCATCAATAATGTGTTCCAACTGCAACCCTATTAGACACCGAGGGAGGTGTAGACCTTAGTACAAAATGTGGAAACTCAGCATAAGCAGAGAGATAACCACCCCAAGACAAACAACCACTCACATTTGGGCACCTCAGGGAGTGGAGTAGACTGGTAAGGAGCAGAAGAGAGCCACTATGAGTGAGAAGAAGTCTAAGAAAAGTGGCATGCCCATTACAATCCTGGTTAGGAAATGCTTCAGATGCCATGGTTTTGGACACATCACTTTGAACTGCCTGACGGGCTGAGTTGTGTCCTTCATTGAGCAGGGTGCAGTGGAGGAAGTTAGCAATGAAGAGATAGTTGAAGAACACCGTGAGTAGTACCAACTTCCATTGGATGAGGGTGAGATGCTTGTGGTTCAATAGGTCCTTCAGATTGAGGTTACGAGGGAGCAGCAGTGGCTTTGCCACAACATATTCTACACCCATTGTACTGTGATTGAAAATGTATGCTGTCTCATAATCAATGGAGGTAGCAATAAGTGCTGCGCCTACACAAATGTCAGACAAGCTGAGCCTCACGACTCAGACATTCCTAGTCATACTCCTTGACGTGGACGAAGAATAAGAACAAAGGCAACATTGACAGGAGATGCCTTGTGGATTTTTCCATTGGAAATTGGCTACATGATTGGATGTGGTATGACGTGGCGCTCATGGGTGCCTATCACATAATGTTGCAGAGATCGTGGTAATTTGATTTTCGAACTCAACACGATGGATTCAAGAACGCCTACTCATTTGCCAAGGGTGGAAAGCACATGGTTCTCTTACCTTATGCAGAGTTCCAGGTTACAAGTGCTTCTGCCATCGGAAAAGTATCGGTGGGATCGATTTTTGTGATCATAGATGATAGCGAGACTGAAGAACCAATTCCATATATGGGATAGTTGTTGCAGAGAGCGTTTCGAGATATCCTACTTCGCCTCCACCTTCTCTTCTGCAACTCGCAATGTCTTCCCCTTGTTGTTTTGTTGCCGTTCCAGCCACCCTCAAGCTCTACTGAACTTCATCTACCTTCCAGAAATCTTATCCGCTGAATCTGCGACTCTCCAAAACCCCAACCTTCCAATTCCAACCCACCTAGCCGACTTCTTCTCTTATTGGGATTTCAGTGTGTTTGTTGTAACCGCCTATTGCCTTTTCCTGTAATAATATTTACTTTACCTATTGTTGTTTGGGTTAACTCCAGTATCAACACTCTAGCGTGAGAATTTTGAATATCATTTGTTAGCTTTTTAATAACTAATAAAAAAATGTCATAATATTGATATTTGATGTAATCATCGTGTAATTAGAAATTCTTTGTTCGCTTTTCCACTATTAAAAATAATATTCGATGCCCTATAATACATATCTATAATAGTTTTAACCTACTTTTAACGCACACATTTCTTTCTTAATGTATGTCAAGTCAATTCTCATGGTTTTTGATTGTATGCATTTCCCAGATGAATAAAAATCATAATATTTTTTGGCATGAAGCAAAATTTATTATTTGAAATTGATTTGACTTTTCAAAGTTTATGGTCTATTACTCTCCCATAACTCTACTGCTCGACTTGTTTGAAATCTCTGTGATGCCGGAGTTAACTCAAACCATAACTTAGGCACAACTAATTTTATTGTTGAAATATAAAGGACAAGTACAACGATGCTTCCTAACGAGGACACAAAAGACAACCAACAAGGGTACATAGACAATAAAGTAGGCACATAAAACAGTAAAACGAAAGGGTGATTGCAGAAAGTAGACGAAGCACAGATTAGAAACAATTTGAACAACGTCCGCGGGCGGTTGAGAAGTCACCGAGGAGGTTGGTGAAGTGTTGGCAACGACTGGATGGACATCAGAATGAACGACGGTGACTGGAGTGGTGCTGGGAGAACTTGGAGAGGTTGACGGTCCGCGGGAGGTGGCGCGGAGAGGCTAACAACGATGAGATGAGCGCTGCGGAGGGCTGTGACTTACTTGGAGGAGTGCAGGAGGGAGGGGCAGCGCCTGGAGAGAGCTGGGAGGGCTAGGGGACCCGGTGGCTTGCTGCAGGAGATGCTGGAAATGGTCGCAACAGCTGAAGTATGGCTGGGAGGACTCGAACAATTTGTGGGAGAAGCTGGGAGAGCGGCAGCAGTGGAGGGCGATGCCGGGAGGAGGCTGTAAAGTGGAGATACACACCACCTTGGCGGGATACAACTGTAGCACCATGCTTTCAAAGGATACAACCTCAAAAGAGGGGAAAATCCCTAGGAGGATCACCTGGAACATGAAAATCAACTAGGAAAAAAACTTTCTTGACTTGAGAAAATAACAAGCATAAATAGGGGAAGAAGAGAAGACCATAAAGGAAATATCTTGAGAAGGAAAGAGGTGAAGAGTGGAAGTAATGCAACGGCTAGGTGCGCAACAATGGCGAGGAGGTGCGCAACAATGGCGAGAAGGTGCGTAAGACTAGCGAAAGGGGGAAGGAGGCGAGCGGAGAGTGCGGTGTGGGATGCAAGCGATTAAAATGGATCGACATTTTAATACTGTAGACCGGTCCGGTTCGGTAGTTAGATTGGAGCAGTGTCGCGCTCTGCTTGAGGGCGTGTATTTGGACCTCCCTACATCACTATGTAGTTAGCATAGTCTTTGAACATACCCTTTGTTTTTTAATATTAGCACTCAACTAGTTCTTTTCTAATGATTTGACATCCTCTTATCTGAATTTCCACGGAAAATATTTTTTAATCCATCCACCATAATATTTTTTATTAACTCTCCATCTCAGTAAGTATCTAGCCTCATATTGTAAGAAATGTGTACCTCAATATATTTTATTTAAAGCTTAACTCGCTGCATTTTTTTGGACCAATCAGTAATAAATATCATTATTTTTTTCTTTATATTCTTCCTTTTTTTTCCTTAAACTTTCATTAATAATTTCACTTAGTATCTTCTTCTAAGTAAGATCTTATTGCTTTAATTAGTTTTATGTCTTACTAAATGCTTTCTGTAACTTTCTTTCGCATATGTGGATCCTTTGATTGTTGGCCACTATATATTATTTTCTTAGATGCATATTGAAATTGACACTTCTCAGGTGATTCACCCAATTTATATAATAGATTCGAATGATCTACATGTCCCAATAAAAGTCCTAAAAAAATTTCTTGGCTAATGAGGATTCGCTTGTCGCATGTTCAATACTCCCTAGTATCTAATCAAAATTTTCTCTGCAATGTTTGTGAGATTTCTTCCGAGAGGACTTTCTGTAGCTTCCTTCGTTAAAAGTAAACATATAATACCACCTATTTAGTTAGCATAAAGTTAATGCCATTGATGTTGAAAGGTTTAAATGCCATTGCTTTGTTAACGCTATTCTAGATTGGAATCCTTCTTATGGTTTGTGGTTTTGGGTGGACAGTCTTTTTACCAACTTTTAATTATAGTTTTACCTTGATGGCTCAGACTTGATGTTATTTTGGTTTTCTTGGAAGTTGGTATTAAGTATAATTAAATGTGGAAGTAACAACTTGTTCTATTTCTCCAACTGTTTTATTTAAACTTGTTAGGTTTGCTCAGACATTAATAAGCCCAACGGACAGTTCATATTACCAAATGACAGGACGGCTATCATGACTTTTATATCGTCGCTTCCCATTCGTAAGGTATCTTGTCATGTTCTCCTTGAAGTTTATCTTACTAGAGTTCACAGAATTTTTTGTTCTTTTTGAAGTTTGACTGTTTTAAAAGTAGTCTGGAAGAACTAAATGTGATTGAATGTATTTTTTGACGTTGAGCGTAGGCATAATTATAAGGAGTTATTAAATTTTCTCCAACAATCATTAAGACATTATGAATGCTGTTGTACTTAAATTTTAGCGAAGTATGATAAGTCTGTGATGATTAATGTTAAAAAAAAATCATTTCTTCTTGTTTAGGCAATTAAATAGATGTCAAGGTAAAAGTGGCGAAGCTAATGTATTCTGGAAAAGATAACTGAAAAGTGTAAACTGTATTAAAAAAACACTTTAACAATGAAGAAAATTTTATACTGTATTTTTTGGAATAATCCTCGTGCATGCTTGAGAATTTGAATATTTTTTAATCTCTCACAATCTCTTCGTCACTATGTTTTACTGCTCTGCCTAGTTTTTGCTTGAAAAATGACTACTTTACAACTGGCATTTCATCTTGCATGAAGTTGCATTGGAGAACAACCATACTTGTGGACCTGATGAAATATTTGTTAATTATCATTTAATACTTTTAACACCCTAGAATCTGGTCTGCTACCTGTACGATATTATTAATGTTCTTTTTGGGGATCAATGTGCAATTCCCATTTTGCCTTGCCACCTCATTTTTGTCTATGCTTTTCAACTACTATGTTCTTTAGGTATACAGTTAAAGTCACCCTCCATTAATTTTCATGGCGATATGGTGATATTATGCAAACAAACTCAAGCTATTTCTCTCGGAATTTTCTTTTGCTAGTTACTAACTGTGTGACTATCATCGAGAAAAGTATCATGTTTTAATTGCTCATGATTTTTAGAACTTAATGCATATTCGGCCTGAGCAAAATAACCGGAATTTGATAGACTTTTGAATGAAATGTGTACTATTTGATACAAATTTGAAGACATTTTTTTCGGGATTTTTTTTTTCTTTTCTGAGAAGTTGTTGTCTGCCAGAGCATTTCTTTACACATATGCGGTATGCTTTGATTTAGGCTTTATTCTACTCCTATCCTTTTGCATCAACAAGGCCTATGTCATTGATGTTGATATTATTTTTCATCCTTACTTTTTGCATCGAATCTAGGGAAGTTTCTACATTTTTCTTCCGTTGTTTTGATTTGCTTTTAAGCTTCAACAATGTTCTTATCCATACTCATACAATTTTATGCTAAAAAAAGTGTTCTTTGAGCTTTACTATTAACGACCAACTGCTCTGCTATTGGATTGATTAATCATCTCACATTTTATGCATACTTCCTTGATGCTCAATACATCTGATGTGCTGCTTATAGAGTTTTTGTTACAGATAGGGGGTATCGGTAAGGTGACTGAACATATGTTTAGGGATGTCCTTGGAATCAAAACATGTGAGGATATGCTGCAGAAGGGTGCTTTCCTTTGTGCGCTATTTTTAAGTTCTTCAAGTGGTTGGTATTCATGGTATCTTTTCTCATTTGCATCTTTTAAAAACTAAATTGAGAACCTTCCTTCTTTTGAAGCCCAAATGAAACAAATTCTGTTGTATTACTTGACACAAGCAGCCAAAAAATGTGTTTTAAACTCCTCTTTTATTTCAATGTTGAAATTATCTCGTCATTATTGAGATCGGCAAGATCAAGTAAAATACCAGAGTAGACCAAGATAAGCATGATATTAGAACTGCTTTGCATTTTTGACTCATTCCCATATCAAGCAGAGCTTTGAATGTGGGCAACCAAATTACAAGTATAACTTGTGGCGATCATGGAGACCATTTACCAGTTTATGCATCATCATTATAGTGACATTATTGCTACAGTCACTGTCACGCTAATTAGTTGTTTGATGCCTTTTTCTGATTAAGTCTTTCTTAACCTTATTTTGATGTCATGCATCACACTTTATTTTAATTTTGATGTTATTCTGATATTTTTAATTTTACTTTTTATTTGTATTTTTAAAAGTTCAAAACTTGAAATAAGCATTCCTTCATAGAAAAGGCTTGAGGGCTTTTCAAGGTGTAAATAAACCATCATAGTTGTCATCATTCATTCAATGAAGAGTTCAAGTTTCATGTTAGTTTGCCTAGCTTGATGCTTTGCTACCATTAAGAGTTTTGAATTTTTTATCTGGAGAAAAATAGGAGATTAGATATGTATTTTTCGAGTTGTTGCTTGTGATGGATGCGGTAGATGATTGTTGACAAGTAAAGAAGAGAAGAGACCAATGTTTGGAATATGGCAATGAATTTGGTGGTTGCTTCTGTTGGGAATTACAATGAGCATGATGACATTTTTGGTGGTAGGAGATGAAGAGTGACAACATAGCCACTTGTTTTGTACACATTCAGGACCATTAATCTTTTTGCCCTAGATGTTTTATCAAATATGTTATATATAGCTAAACAATGTTGTGTTCACAATGTTTTGGTTCTATGCAAAGGTTATTGTGTTTGGTTAGTGTTGGAAATTAGCATAAAACAACAACAACTATAAACCTTTATTTCTCTAAGTGGGCCGGCTACATGATTACTTTTTCTCCATTGCGTCCTTTTGAGTGTCATATTTTCATTTAATTATAACAAACTAAGATCATTTTTTATACAATACGCCCAAGTCTTTCTAGGTCTACCTTTGCCTTTCTTAAGATAAGTCGAATCTCAAACATCTGCTCTCTTAATCAGATCATCAGATGGTCGATGTTTAATGTGACCAAACCATCTAAGACAACTATCTCTAATTTTTTCTACCTCTGGAGCTACAACAACCCTATCACGGATATATTCATTTCAAATTTTGTCTCTAAGTGTAAACCCACTCATCCATCTAAGCATTCTCTTCTCGACAACACTTAACTTAGTTTTATGCTTTTCTTTTAAAGGCCAACATTTAACGCCATAAAGTATTGTAGGTCTCACCACCATCTTATAAAACATTCTAAGCGTTACTTTTCTATCACACAATAGGCTCGAAGCATTCCTTCACTTCAACCAACCAACTTGAATTCTACTAATAACATCCCATCTATATCACCATATATCACCATAACTTTGAACAATAGACTCGAGATATCTAAAACATTCACACCTTTTAATAATTTGATCACTCATAGTTACAACTCTGTCACTAAAGCTACTGCTAATAAAATTACATTCCATGCATTCAGTTTTAGTTCTACTCAATTGAAGGCCTTTAGACTCAAATATTGACCTCCATAATTCAGGTTTTTCCTGAGCTTTCTCTCTAGTCTTATCTCTAGTCTTATCCCTTATCCATGAGAAGGATATCATCAACGAAAAGCATACACCAAGGTACATCCTCCTATAAATGTCCAGTAAAAGCATTCATAACTAAAGCAAAAAGATATGGGCTAAAAGTTAATCCTGATGTAATTCAACTGAAATAGGAAAATATTTGGTCTATCCTCCTTCTGTTTGAATACAAGAAACAACTCTAGTATACATATCTTTAATGACTTAAATATTAGTCATATCAACATATTTCTTCTCTAAAACTCTCTAAAGGATATCTCTTGGAACCTTATCATAAGCTTTTTCTAAATTAATAAAAATTATATGTTGATTCTTCTTATTCTCTTTGTACTCTATCAAACTCTCAATAAATGTATAACTTCCATAGTATACCTGCCTGACATAAATCCAAATTGATTATGAGAAATCTTTGTAATGTATGTTCAATTACCCTCTCTTATAATTTTAAAGTTAATTCCTCTATATTTTGTACACTCTTGTGCATCCCTTTTATTCTTAAAAAATGGAAACCAAAATACTCTTCCTCCACTTCTAAGGCATTTTTTTAGTTTTAAAAATAATATTAAAGAGTTTAGTAAGCCAAGAAACTTCTAAATCTCCTATATATTTCTACACTTCAATTGAAATGCCACAGGTCCGACAAACTTTCCACCATTGGTGTTCTTTAAAGCCTTCTCAACTTTCTTTTTAACTAATGTGATGGTAAAAATGAAATATTTTATTATTATCAACAATATTTAGATCACTAAGATCGATCGTATTTTCAGAAAATTTATTAAAAAGTTATCAAAATAACTCACCCACCTGTGTTGAATATTTTTTTAAGAAAAACCCTTTTTGATTTTTATTTTTGATACACTTTACTTAAGTTTTTTTCTTTTCTTTTCCTTTATTTGACTAGTTTATACATATTTATTTTCATACTCTTTAATATCTAATATATTATAAAGATTACTAAAAACAAAATTTTTAGTGTAACATATTATTCTTTTTGACTCTTGTCGGCCGTTAAAATTCCCTCATCTTCTTTTGAAAAATATAAAATGTAGTTTTGATTTATTATATATATATATTATATATATATATATATATATATATATATATATGTGTATTGATTTTCTTGAAAATAATATTTTAATTTTTGAAAAATGAGACTGGATGGATCTCATTAATTTAATAGTTTAAGTAATTGAGTACGATACCACAAGTAATGCACTTATCCCGAGGAATATGCATATTACTTGATAGTGAGACTCGATTAAATAAATTATAGAATTTATGACATCCGTCTGGACTGCGAACCATTTTTTTATATAAGCCGACAAGTTCTCTTATCTACTATGAAAGATTAGATTGAGTTTATATTACCGGAGTTCTTAAAGCTCCCTTTTGAGACAAACCTCTATAGTTAATTACCTCTCAAATGACTGAAGGCACTTAAGAGAATTCTCGATGATGATCAGAATTAACTATCTTCATGAATTCAAAGTTTAGGGTTTCCAATGTTGGACATAGAAAAGTCAAGTGGAGAAATAGACCAAATGGAAACATTTATTTCTCGAATCCAAGAAAAGAAAAATAGTGGATGCCACGGCCCTTGAGGAGAACCTCGGTGACTTCCCAAACTATCCTATTGTTTGGCTTCAATTTTGAGAAAATGTTATTCGATGTTTTATCCTGCCAGTTTTATTATTTAGGGCTTATATTTGCATGATATGATCATACAAATAACCTGAAAGATAAGAGGGTTTACGTCGTATCGGACGATGACCTCGAAACCTAAAACGAGTTAGGGCTTTTAGATTGCACAAACTGATGTCGGCCGTTTTATTGTCCAACTTGACTTTCG